AGATGAAAAACCTTGATTAATCAATGGAAAACTATATAAGAGGGCACGTTCCGAAAATGGAGCTTACTCATTTTTTTACACCAAAGCCGCCGCGCAGGCATAAGCCTAAATACGACACCGAGGATCCCAGAGAAATTTTGATAAACCGATTTTTTAACTGCCTAACGTAATTAATAGTGGGCAAAGCCTCCTGTTGTAGATTGTTCTACAATCTCAACACCCTCGGGACAAAGGAGTGGTTGTATCGACCAGTTCTGGATGTTCGAAGTTCGACATGGTTAGAATAAGAGGCTGAAGTCAGGCCGGTTTGTCTGGCAGGCACATCGCGCATCATGGACGAGAGCTCTGAGGAGCGAAACCCTTGGCGTAGCGGTAGAATAAAGCTAGATAATGTAGTTGGGGCGGTAGCACCCCAAACATGTGAGCAATACTCGAGGCTAGGTCTTATCTGGGCCTTGTACAGAGTGAGGAGGCCATGTGGAGAAAAGCACTTCTTAGCCTTAAACAAATAACCTAGCTTTTTGCCAGCAGCTGTTGCTATTGACTAGTCCTCAGTGATCTGAACTACGACTAGCCGAAATGAACGCTTCTTTGGTATAACTTGGCCATCCATCGAAACCGGATGAGCGCTAGGACGCTTTCTGTTCCTCGAGATGCAGTACTCTGTTTTAGAAGCATTAAACTGCACAAGATGGTTGCGTCCCCATACAGTGATAACCTCCAGATCCCTCGTCAGAGAGGGAGTTGCTGCAAGTCTTCTTTTCTACGGCTAACTGGCAGAGATCAGCTTGTCACTCTGAATTCCTACATGTAGAGTGCTGTAATCAGCATAGCTGTGGATTGAATCGATCGTACAGGAAAAGAGGTCGTTCATATGCGAGAGGAACAAAGTGGGAACCAACACCGATCCCTGAGAAACACCATTCCGAAAAACAAGCCCAGTACGCAAGAAGCTCGAGAGAGGTAAAACGTGTATATTTTGTATTGCTTAAAAAACGAGACCTCACGGAAGACTAGTAGAGCACTTAAGAAAATCTAAGAAATCAGGGTTTTAGTCTAATATTCATTTGCGTTTTCTGGATATGTACTATTCAAGTTCGAATAATATGCTAAAAATAATTTTTCTGATCAGGAGTAGGTAGAAATAACAATATTGCAAATTAATGTAGAAACAAATGCCATACTCGCAAATAATCCAGTAGCACCAACATCCTAAAAATCTCTAACTTTTGAGATGACAAGGAATTGGCATATTCTGCCTGGAAATACGTTTCAAATGATATATGACTTATTGCTATTAACTGGAGTACCAGAAACCATGTATTTGTGCTCTTTGATTATTTTGCATACTATTTTTTGAACTCGTAATACCTTGCGTTATAAATAAGCGCTAGGTGTGAAATCAAAACACTTTATGCATAATGGATTTTTATGCAGTAGGTATGCTACCACTGCTGTAATATCACAACTAGACGATTGGCAAAAGGGGCTGGTGTAACTGGAATACAGAAGAGTGTTTCTAACAATTATAGTAAAAGAGCACACCCAGAAAGACTTCAAGAATATCTGAGACGATACGTTTGGCTACTTATTCCAAAGAATTCATCAGCTGTCCTAGTGATGAAGGAACGATGTCCAAACAGGTTTGGTTTTCTGCTGACATTGCAATTGGGTACTGTCAACTAAGGAAGCATCTCTATCTTGAAACAAAATGGAAGAAGAGTAGCATAACTCATAGTACGCCACTGCTAACGCTGTGTGTCTTTCAAGATGGTGGGAACCACGCGCACCCATTGCAACTACCCAGCTGTTATATCAGCAGAATCAATTCAGATGGAGCTTAGGCCTTCTATGACTAATATAAGGGAAACTCCGCAGGGTCGTATTTTCCTAAATAATTTGGGGGTGGCTGATTATTATCCAGCACTGATGAGTTTCTGAGGAAGCCATACAAAGGGCCCAGTGGAGCCTAAGCTTCTGTTACCCTTTGTCCAATACAGGATACAATGCAGAATATTGGTAGCATACGGTAGATAGCTTAGCTTGGTATTTTTCCAAAATATTAACCTAAATGTTTTATTGCGCTTCGAAAGATTAGCAAGTCTGAAGTTCTTCATTCGTAAATTACGAGAATCTCTAAAACGCTAGGTATTCAAGTTACAATGATGCGTAGTCATTTCTTGATGCCTCTTTATTGTGTGGAGATCTTACTTGTCTTGTCACTTGGGAGTGACAGGAAAGTTGTCAAGCATCGAAGAAGGTGGCATTTTTCGATCTGAGGTCTTTTCTTTACCTTCGGTCATTAATAATTTGATGCTTGAAACGACATGTATTTTCTTTGGAACAAAGTGGCTAGGCCCCTGAGCTCCCTCAGAAAAGCAGTTAATTGGGAAATCCTTAAAATTAGCTGCAAGGCAATGAGATATTACATCGAACAAGGCCGCTTTCTTGCTTGATGACTATATTTGACAACTCTGCTGTCAATCGCATGTGAGGCATCCTCACGGTAAAGAAGTCTCAAGTGAAGCATCTAATTACATTTAATTAAAAACTCATATACAGGGTATTCCGGAAGTAAAGTAGAATATTTAAAAGGACGATTCTTGCGTATATTTTAAGAAAAATGCTTCATACGGGCGTGCATCCTGAATATATTTAATTTCAAGATCCAGATACAGGGTGATAATTGTTTCAATTGTCTTGAAATATCTATAATAGCACTCTAGATTTTTAAGTAAAATTTGATACACGGCTCCACGCACTAAGAAGCATTTTCTGATGTGCAATTTTTTTATTTCCTCCAGTAGCGGATTTGAGCTAAAAAGATTCAAAGCAAAATATAATAAGCTACTAGCTTTTTATCTAAAAACAAATATTTCCATGATTCTCATTCACTTCTAAGTAAACTTGATTTCTTGATTTTCTTTTCAACCGCATTCTTGCGTGAAAAATAAGAAACATTAAGTTTGTTATATTGCATCAGTTATTATGTTAGCTATAATGATCATGCAAGGAAATGTTTATTATCTATTTACGTGAGAACCATTGGTGGAAAGTAAACTTAGAGATCAAATTTGCTCAGAAGTGAATGAAAGTAGTTTTTGTTACAAAAATGCAGTAGTGCACTAATTTCTTAAAACACTCAAGCTCAAATCCAAAACACTACCGCCACTAAATTTGAAGCATTTAGTACAAAAGTTCATATGAAGCTGTTTTCTTAAAATGAACTCATGAATACCCCTCTTAAGGTCCACTTCCTTTTTTTCAACTGCCTGTTTGAATTCTCAATCCTTTTCTTCTGATTATTCCATGGTTTATATCATTTTTTTGTCAAAAAATGTATTTTGTTGTGGATTTTTTATTCAGTCGTAACTATCAGTATCAGTACTGATATTTGCTAACAAGTTACGATTAAAGAAATGCACAGCAAAACGCATTTTTTGACAAAAAATTGATAACATTGTTTTTCAGTCATCTCTATATACACCATGAAACAATCAGAAGAAAAGTATTAAGAATTCTCCTCCACATAGGTTGTTGATAAAAAGGGACATGCGACGTTAAGTATTTTACCTTACTATTGAAAAATCTTGTATACAAAGACAGACATTTTTGTTGAAGCCAAAACACACGTTAATTCTTCATTAATACTTGCTTAGCGCAAAAGAATTTGGGAAGATCTATCTTGGCGTCTTACCGGCTACCGCTTATACAGTGTGTCCCAATAGTATGGACGCGCCCAGAGTAAGGGTGCTAGAAAGAAACATTATAAACAAAAGTTTTATAAAATCAATTCGCGAATTTAACATTTACATTCCCCTTGAAGGTCATTTTAAGGCAAGTTGATTCTTTCAAATAGAAACCCCAATATTTTATTGCAGAAATGGAAAGTAATAGAAACGTAATATTCAACGGTAAAAATATCATAGAGGTTCAAATTACAACTAGAATTTATTTCAAGGTCAACTGTCGCTCTTTCATGGAATATTGTGAAGCAACGGACAGCTGGAAAAGGAGGAATATTAAAGAGGAAATGAGAAAGACGAAATAGCTATAGGCTCTGAATTAAGAGTTTCCATATGATAGCATTTGGATAGAATGGGCAGTGACAACCCTCAGTACTTGTTAATAACTTTATGGTTTTGGAATATCCAAAGTTCCAGTTTAACACCTTCACTTGCCAGACATTAGTCTGTCTTGCCTTTTTTGGCCGGAGATAGTCTCACCTCAATATCTTGAAGAATCAGTTGAAGATCTTGCAAAGATTATCGGTCGCTTCAGTCTAATCCACTAAAAAGGTCATTTGACCTTAAAATAAGTTAAAGGTTAGTTAGCCTTTGAATATGAGAATTTTATCCATTTTCAGCGCGGGGATCAAAATTGATGGTTTCCATGTGGAAAAATTAATTTGACCTTGAATTCAACTTCAAAGTCAGAATTAAGTTCACCATAAGATGTTCTGTTGGGTGCCCTGAATTAAATTTTCTCATAATATCATCTTCTTTTCTCAGTTATCCGCTGTCTCACAACATTTCATGAAAGAGCAACAGTTGACCTTGTCATTTTAGCCCTATGATATTTATACCTTTGAACGTATTTTTTTGCCTTTCTATTTCTGCAATAAAAAATGAGTGTTCTCTTTGAAAAAATGAACTTGCTCTTGAAATGACCTTCAAGGTAAACGTCAACGTCAAATTCAAGGTCACGAATAGGTGCGCCATTTGATTTACTAAAACTTTTGTATCAAAGGTTTTCTGCTAACACCCTTAGTTTCCGAGATATTTGGGTGGGTCTACACTTTTGGGACGCAAGTTGCATGCAAAAAGAATGCCTGGTCTGCGAATTCATCCCAAATTCTTCTAGACCAAGAATCAGTGAAGAAGCAACATGTGTACAGGCTCTAAATTTCGAGATTTTTAGGCGTTTATTTTCTGGAACCTAAAGCCACGCTCACACCATGCAACCGCTATTGAGTGTAACATCCGATTGTTGTATTGCAGTCGGAGGAACGGAATGGTCCGCTGTGGAGGTGTTCTCGCAGAAGCAAGTCCGAGGGGCCGGCGCGTAAAAGCGGTACGGGTGCCGGGCCCGGAATCATCGCTTCCGAGAATCCCGAATCGGAAGGGATACACGAAAGGGAAGGGGAAACTAGAAGGGAATCCGATCCCGACATCACCGATAACATGGTAAACACAACACACGTTATACCATATACATAAAGACACGCGTAGACTGTACAACATGTTGCACCAAAGATTGTGCAATAAGTTGTACCATAAACCATTTGTATGCCATTCGACACATTGAGGTACGTCTCCAATGTAACATGCTCATTTCGCAACACGTGCCAGTCTTCAAAATGTTGCGGAACAAGTATTGGGGATGAATCTGCGTCTAGTATCTGCAATGTGCGACATATGCATGCGCCGCAACATGTGCCGCAACTTGCGCCGCGGTTATTTCAGTTTGTATACATGTGCCCGGAAGTGCCCCATGTGACGTTTCGCTCATAACGGTGTATGACTGCCAAAATTTTATTTATCTATCTTCCAGGTGCGAGTTAATGTGTTTTTCTTTTATGTTTTCAAATTCGTATACAGTGTGTATAGTGTGGAAGGTCCGTAACATGCCGAGATTGCACGAAGCCATCATTCCAAAAAATCTCAACCAGAACCGCATGAGGCAGGCATTCCCGCTGCCAAAAGAACGCCTAGCAATCCAAGCGAGCTAGAGGTTATGTATCGATCTTTTAATGTACCAGATACGCCAACCTCGTCCATCTTTCCAAAAACGTTAAGAGCCTTCCAAAAAAAAAACACGAAACCCACCCAAAACTGTTGCCGTAACACACCGGCTAGACGTCCTTTTGGTATGCTTAGCCCAAGCTGTCCTGGGCTATAATAATAAGCCTTTATTAGCTTATCGCTAATAACAAAGCAATTTATAAAAATAAATGTTAGCCTAGAGGTATTTCCATGTGAACAAAACATGTATATGTATATGACAACGTGACTTATTCTTTATCCCATTAAAACTGCAACCAAAAATGTCAGTCGTTAGCACTTTTATTGGCATTGTTACACATGATATTAAGTGGTGCTTTTGATAATAATGAGTAAGTCTGTGCTCTTTGAGATAAAAAACAAACACTAGCTCGTGAAGCTAATCGTGGAACCAGAAATCGTAACTACGTGAGAATATTTGTCCGAGCAACAATTTGTATGAGTACAAAAAATTAATCCGACGCTGCTCTAAAGATTGAAAATCAAACATTTAACAGAGTCATTATAATCGGAACCTCTAGCAGGGTATATTCCATCAGTTTTGAAACTCAGAAACCTCAAAAAGTTCTTCTGATTTTTATCGTTAGTATCAACATATTGTTTATAAGTAGGTCTCCATATACGAGACCCATATTTAAGTGTTGACCTTAATGTACGGATATTGTCAAAGTTTCTACAGTTGCTTATTAAGAAGCTGTACGTTTTAAATGCATTAGAAATGATTTGGTTAATATGATTATTGAAGGTGAGTTGCCGACCAAAGTAGACACCTAAATCTTGAATAGTCTCACAACATACTCAATCCCCAATTGTGTAGTTGTACCATATAGGATTAGTTTGTTTAGCGAAAGTCAGTACCTTACATTTGGAGATATTTAGAGGAAATAGTGGAGAAAAACTTCAAACCGTCAGCAAACATCAACTTAAGACATTCCAAAAACCTACATAAATCATTTAGAAGTAGTAGTAAGAGCCTTAAGGAACACCGCTGGTAGAAATGTAAAAACATAGTGTTTCCTTTCAGAGACGTAATAGGAAGACAAAATCGCAATATAAGTGCTATTAAAACCCAAGTATTGTAGCTTACTAACTACAATATTGTGGTTAACCTGATCAAAGGCTTTAGAAAAACCCATGTTTACCACGTCAACCTGATCTCTGTTAGCCAATCTTTGGCATAAGTATTGACTGAACGCCATTAGGTTACTTAAAGTTGACCGCTACCTCATAAAACCATGTTGAAGGTCTTTCACAGACAGATATATTCGGTTATACAATATGATCTCCAAGGGTTTCGCAAAATTGTTTAAGATAGACACTGCTCTATAATCACAAACTAAGTTATAATTCTTTGTTTTTGGAATTGGGCATACCTTTGCAACTTTCAATTTATCTGGAAAAATAGATGTGTCGAATCTGTAAAGGAAATACCAATATCCAAATATAAGCCTTGACAAAGAATAATGAAATTTGGTCAGGTTCTGCAGTTAGCTTGCCTTTTAGTTTCCAATTGGCAGCAAAGTGACATCTACCTAATATCAATTAGGGTATTATGATCAAAATTTAAGCTATGCTGGTTTCGTACAATCTCGGCATAATAAGGACCTTTCAGACCATTGTAGTAACACACTGTATAGGAATCTGAAAATGAAAAGGAAAAACGAAAGATGTGTCACCTGGAAGATAGATAAACAAAATATTGTGTCAGTGTCATGTACTTAAGAAGGTCACCATAAATTAATACAAGTGACAAGTCACAGAAGGACCAATGATTGATACATAAGACATATTAAAAATTACAATTAAAAGAAAAAGTAAGACCTACTCTTAATAATTATGATTTAAAATTTGTAAGATAAATACTGCTGTACAGTAAACAGCTCTGGCATAGAGTTTTGTTTACTTTTTCCATAAACTTATAATAATATAATAACAAACGAGATCACAAAAAATGGAGTCGGAACTGTTGGCAGGTTTTCCCTCCTCTAAGGTCCTCTACCACTTATCTAGCCTAATGATAGATTCATAGAGCTGTAGACTCATAAAAACCCTAATTAAAAAAAAAGAGGTACATGTTTCTATTTTCAAATAATTTAACCGTAATCCAAAATCACATGAATCGTGTGCATGATTCTATGAATAATGCTTCCTAAATCTCTCAAAAGCACAAATCAAAATTCATGCATTTTCTATATTCATTTCATGATTGATTCCATCACCGCCATGTGGTTTCCTAGAACTATTCAGCTACTTTTGATCTAACTACTGCAGGAATGTTGCGATCAGTATTTTTGAAAACATAAAATCAGTTTGTTATGGTGCATCAAAGATTACTGCTTATGTTACTAAGAAAAGTATTCAAGATAATAACCCTTACTGTCAGTTATCTAAGAATGGCGTTTCGCGCTACTAGACAATATGCAGTTTGAGTAAGGGCACACAGCGGATACGGTTGTTGGCGACTTACACTACTATTCAAAAGTATTTGAACACCCAGAAAATAAGGAAACTGATGGAAGCTATTAAAGAAAACATTACAATATCTGTATTATTATTATATTTATTTTCTTAATTCTTAACAACATACAACAATTATAATCATAATTTTCATATTTTTGAGTCATCAATATGTCCTTTTTTACTTTTAACTATAGCCTGGCAAATGATGGGTAAACACGCTACTAATTTTTCTAAAGTGGATGGGGTTATTTTTCGCCATTCGTCTTGTGATATTCTCCATAAGTGTTCTTGAGATGTAGGACAGTATTTCCGTGCTTGTCTGTCCAGTTCATCCCACAGCAACACTATCGGATTCATTCCATGACTTTCAAAATATTTTATTCTTCTTCATGTCTGACTGAAGCGATGGTGCATGATTCTAATGCACTCAGTTATGGCTAACGATGAGATCCCAATAATAGTGTGAGCAAAATTTTGATTTCAATGACCTTTCAGTAATTCTGCTTGATTACCATGGTGATGGTTTTCAATAAATAAATAAAAATAAATACGTACTGAATAGGTTTTTTGTTTGTTATGATTTTAAATTGAAATATGCAGGTCTTCAAATAATTTTGAACGGTAGTGTATGTAAAACGTGATGTTGTGTGGAATTGTTTTATTATCCGCATTCTAGGAACATACTTATGCCATAACCAAATATTTGACACATATAATATATTAACGCACAACATAATAAATATATTACATAAAATAAAAATGGCAACATCCTGGAAAAATTAGATCTAATAGTTTGACTTCACATCGATACCGTATCGAATAGCGATATCAAGGTAACTTTGTGTCTTCCCGAAATAAGGTCCATGAAAAATAAATTAAACCTTACATTTAAAATTAGCCCAAGTAGGTACGCAGAACAACAACACATTATTTCAATCATAAATAAGGTAATAAAATGATAACAGAAACTCTCAACAAGCTGATAACCAAGAATTTTGTTTATTTATTGTGGATCCTACGCGGATACGTATTTTTGATATTTGAATAGATATTTAGTAATGCAGTCTAGGGCAAAGCACCTTTTGGAAGGGTGTTAAAAAATTTCAAAAGTTATGCGTCTTGGATTGTCAAAAACAGCACTATTCCTCTACGAAACGATATAAAAGCGCCCCTCAGAAACCTTATGGGAATGGCTTTCAAATAATCTTTTCTAAAAGTTCAGTTCTCGTCACGAAAATCAAAAGTGTACATGGGCCCAACGATTTTTTCACGAATAGGTTTCTATTACGCGAAATGTAATTGCAGTTCTGTCACATATACAGGGTAGGCCAAACTTACAGGTATGGAGTATTGCTCCGAAACACACACTTTTTCAAAATCATCCAGCACCCTGCCTGTGGGAATACATTTAAAACATATTTAGAATTATACAGAGTAAATATCAAAGAAACATTATACAGGATGTCCCAACAAAAATGGGAAGTAGCTTTATTAAAACTGGAAAAGATATCAAAAATCTGTTTGTGTGGGAACCTTGGTATGTCAATACTTCCTATTTCAAAATTATTTTGATATACAGGGCATAAAGTTAGTAGTGGATCAACGGAAGTCAGGTGATAGAGGGACTCAAAACCTATCGAATGAACTCCTATATGTGTGGTCCGAAATTTTATAGTCCAGGAGATATTTGCAATTTTGTGAAATTTAGACAAAAAAGCGGGATAATGAACTTTCAATCGCAATTACAATTAAACCATTAGGTTTAGGGATGTGATTTTTTATGAGATGAGCTAAATGGTTAGGTTTAGCAATGGTTATGTCGCTTTTTAACAGAGCTTATTAGAATTCAACGCAGAAAATCCTAAATTCATTTTTTTGTGAAAAATCTCTTCCATTCCTCAACTTTGGAGGGCGATAAATACGAGGGATGTCTTTTAAGTTTT